ATATCTTTTTTTTTTTTTTTGTACCAAAATATTTGGTTGTTCGGGCATAGATTATAGCAGTAATATTCAATCGATGACACTTGAGATGTATTGTTCCTGGTTGCTTTCATGCGAAAAGACCGCATTTTCCGTAAAAACYCCTTGTAGCACGTCGGAATGMCGCTCAATTTTAATGACAAAACAATAGGTTTCCAAATCTAAGAGTATTGATTTTTTTTTTGTTACCCAAATTGAGCTAGTTTTACGCCACATGCCATGCTTTTGTTTGATTTGACTATTTTTTAAATTTTTAAGAATTTACAATAKAAATTAGAAATTAAAACTACAACACGGAAACCAGAAGCTCATAGGTGGTTCGATGCCGCTGAAGTTCATTTTTTTTGTGAACTAATTTCTTCACCGTAAATCACGTTCTCTTGCTTTATTAAAAACTCTCAGGAAAAAAATACAGATATTCCAAAAATTTCATTRAGAGACTGAGTAAATATACTTTGAAAGTCAGGAATTAATTCAGGGAAAAGTCTGAAAGAAGCGGCCATCTTGAATCAATTTTAAAATTCCAAATATGGTATCAAAACTCCTAATTTGCAAATCTAAATATTTTGTTACACGTTTCAAATCTCTTATGAGTTTCTGCTWAAACTAAATTGCCGATCTTTATCACCTTATATAAGGAAAACTGGTTATYAAGATAGGAAGAGTACATCACAATTATTGTTACTTTTGTTCGTCAACAACACAAAAATAGCTGAAAACAAATTGAAGTTAGTCGTGGTTGGTTGACTGATCAAGTGCCTGGAATGCACTTAACATTGGCCTTTCCTTCTTAAAAGCATTTAAGTCCTTAAAAATAACTGAACTATAAAACTAATTTTAGGCTTTTTAAAATCAACTGCATAATTTCATGGGAGAATGAGAATTTTTAAACCTTGTCATTGTTATAAAAGRCCAGCCTTGCTTGATCAAAATCATTTGGGTTGGCCAAGACGCTGCAATCATGTCGTTTAAGCTCACTCTCCTTTTTGTCGTTTGCTTCCTTGCACTAACTGGAGCTATTCCAGTTGAGAAGACTGAAGATGACAACCAAGAACCTCAGCCTGTTGCAGCAGATCCTGAGAAAGAAGTACCACAAGAGGATCCTGTGCCTGGTAAGTTGGTTTTCCGATCTTTTTTATCGCTTGCTTTTTTTTTTTTCTAGTGTGTAGTGCGTTAACTTTAGGTTTCTAGGGTTTTGGGGTTTGATCATATGCGGGCGACGTTTGTTAAATCTTTCACGTGATTTCAGAGTTTTGCATAAATAGTTCTCCGCTTTTTTTACTTCCAAAAAAAAAAAAAAAACAACTTCGAGTTGAATTCTACCTGTGAGCTAGTTTTGCGCTGACCTAGATCAGCCCATTGCAATCAAGGTTGTTCATACTTCGATTCAATGCAATGAATGATGTGTGCTTTGGAATGCTTTGCCACTGAGATTTCTTAGTGAGGGGGAAGTAACACACTTGCAACATTTTGTGTAATTCTATTGAAGCTAATATATGCTCACTTAAGTTTTAAACATTTTTTGAATGATAACGAAAATAAAGAGGATATTGAAGACGAAAAGCAAGAGGACGCCAATGAGGAAGAAAAACAAGACGAAGAGGAGCCCGAGGTAGATGACACGCAAGGTAATCATTGTAAACTACATCAATTTAGCCACTGCCTAAAAATGAAACTCTTTGTCGGTTGTCACCTCTTATTTTACTTGCACAAAGTTCAAGAATARTTTCGAAGCAAAAATGAGGTCTTTTTTGTAGTGTTTTCATAGATTTCATCTGAGTCGTTTAGAATAAATAAAGTATACTTAAAWAGATTCATGTATCTTTTTACCAAATTGTCAAAAATCTCAAAAAGAATGTATCTCTGCCTATGTTTTCACGACGATTTTTTTTTTTCGAAACTCGTGTGATAAAAATATGTAATTTTAGTATTGTTATAATTGAAAAGACGGGATATAAACGCGCGCGATTCTAGAAGATTTAAAAAATTATTATAGTCGTATATATTTCAATATTGTAACTATTCATATGCATCCACTAGACTTGATTAGTCTTGTTACAATGTTTACTTAGAATGAGACTCTTTTAGT